TRKCTCCGCGCGCCCAGGTAATATAGATTMTCATAATTTTCGAAAAGAGGTGCATAATTTGTATACCTTAYATTTTAAACACCTTATAATTGTTTTATACTTTGAGGGACACAARTTTATCAGTGTTTAACTGTGCCGCCTTYTGGAAATATAGTTTTTGTGATGTTCGTAATGATAAAGGTCATASACAAGTGTAACCTTTACCAAGCTGCACGCAACGACGCGGGTTTTTGGCACCTTTGGTCAGCAATGTACTGCGGGCGCAACCTACAGATGTTAGATAGTGAATACAATGTTMAATAAGRTATATGTATCATCATTACTAGACTGTTAATTTAGAGATGAAGTCTAACGACAAATCGCAGCCGTTTCCAGTCCTTTTTGAACAACCGCGGTCCTTGTTGTACCTGACAGTGCTCCTCTTTAATGATTAACGCCCATTGGCTGGTACGACAAGGACAGCGGTTATACAACGTTTGTGAAATGATCGTTTGAAGCGATCTACGTCGGAAAATCAAGCGCTTCTCAGTGGCTAAAAMGACATTTCAGATAAGAAAAAYAWTAGTTATCATCAACTGAACGTATAGTTGGATAAATTGAGCATTTGTTTCGCKCTKWTATGCTAGGATAAATGTAGCAAATTCAGAGTTTTAAATATATCGCCCTTGGGTATAGGCAAGTCAAGAAGAAACGTGTCGTATACACAGCCGTTCTATTGTAAATGCTTTTCAATCGGTGTGTTGTATGCTTTTAAAACCGGAGTTGATAAAATATTTTGATTTGATTTCAGGAAAAGAAAAAGAAGTAAAGCTGAGAAATGACATCAATAAGACTGASGCCTAAATTAATTATCCAGTTGACAATATCAATTATTATCATTGTTATATTATATCACATTTTCCCGATAATCAAACTTGCCGATCGAATTATCCCACCGAAACTCAAGGTTATCGAACTTACTGATCCATCTACCAATCCGACACTCAAGGATGTCAAGCTGACAGATCCAGCYAGTACCCCTCCGAAAGCCACGGTCGTCAAACTGACAGATCCACCYAGTACCCCTCCGAAAGTCACGGTCGTTAAACTGACAGATCCACCTACCCCTAAGAAAGTCACGTTCGTGCAACCACCCAGAGATCAACTTCCTCCAGTATGTGGTGACCCTTCTGACTTTATTGATCCAGACACTACTGTACTTCCTAACAGGCCAAACGTCGACTTGTTTATAAACATCCCCGCGGCTGGACACCTTTACATTCGAAGAAAAACGCTAAGAGAAGGTTGGTTATCAACCGTTAAGCACTATTCAGTYGCGTACCGTTTCTTCACCGATGAAATAGSTATTAAACCTGAAATAAGAAAAAATGTTACAGAAGAACAGGAAAAATATAAAGACATCGAATTTATACCAACCAGAAATGGATATTGGCTTACTCATCGATATCTCTTCGCCATGTTTTGGGCATATAAACATTAYAATTTCTCATTTTATATGAAAGTGGATGATGATTATTTTGTCTGCYTGAATAACTTGCAAAACGATCTCCAGTATCGAAAACACGAAAAGCTTCTATACTGGGGTCATTTTGGCTGTGATCCAAAAATGGTGGCGATGGACGAAGGGTTTTTGATCATAACAACTGATCTTGTTCGTGARATCATGAAGAGGAATAATTCCCTCTGCTGCTCTCCTTTTGGTGGACAAATGATAGCAATGTGGATCAATCTACTGGAGAAAGAAGGACATGATGTTACCTACTTTCCAGATAATCCACGATTGATGCACTACAGAAGTTACTTAAAGAAAGAACATAGCAATATGTGTAAGGAGATTCTAGGAATACATCAGGCCTATCCTGAACACATGGCTAGGTACTGGAGTATTACCAAAGATAATTGGTACTCCATTAAATCTGATGAGTTTCTGAAGGTARAAAGAAAAAAATACAGCGACTATTGTTCGCGGCCCAAAGTCTGGGACTGGAGAGTACTCAACCCATTTTGGAGGCATCAACCAAAGCCTTGCTGGGARCCTGGACTCCGCTGGCCAGAACTTGAAAAGTATAAAGAGGTTCAAAGTAGAGAGCGTGACGAGAAAAACAAATAGTTGACCATACACTGTAAAAGCTTGCTGGTTAATACAACCAAAGAGAGACATATTGACTATGTCACTTATGCATGCGAACTTACGTGTAGGTATTTTGCGTTATGCTTTTAGTGCTATTATATTGTTTATTTTATAAATACAACAAATTAATTAGTTTTAATTTTTAATTTCAATCTAGGGTTATCCTGGTCACCTTTCTGTAATTGGTTATGTATGATTTTATAGGTATAAAGGATTTTATCACAAGGAGATGCTCGTGCAACTGAGAAAAACAATGATTATTTTAATAATTTGATAATATCTTTAATAATTCAGTAAAGTAAATTAAAGTAGTACATTTGATATCAATGAAAACTGAGAAAAACATTAATGATTATTTTAATAATTTAATTATCTTTAATAATTCAGTAAAAAAACATAATAATACATTTAAGTAATAGTACATTTGATATCAGTGTATATTACACTTGATACTATGGAGACTGTAGGGCACAGTCATCTGAAAGCAGTCATGTTTATGAACTGAATAATATCTTCTCATTGTACATTTTTACAATAAATTTCATGGTCAATAGATGCTAATAAATGAACGTTTTTGTTTAAAATAGTTCAAAATGTCTAAGGTAATATGATCGGTAGAGTGATTTTCATCGGACTGTGAAATAGTTCCTACACTAATAGACGTAAGTAGACTCTACACCATTGCTTTCTTTTATTTACAACTTAATTTAATTGTTTCACAGACGGATGAAAATGACTCTAGCCTTAAGGACTGTTTGCCTAGAAACAAATGTAGGCAAGAACTACGAAATGAGGATTTTTCAGTGTGTAATTAGTAGCTTGTATTATTTTGTATTATGTTTTGTTTCACGGATCTAGCGCATTCACTCTACCACCCGCGGGAGAAGGAGGAGAATTTATCGGCTTGTGATGTCGTTACTGACATGTCCTTCATTCTGTCGTCGGCTGTTCATTGAAGGCCTCTGTTCATGAACACATTTAATCTCGATTACTCGATGATGACGATTTCTATTAGAGTGGTTGATTGACATCGTCATGACAACCGCTCTTCGTATTTCTTTCATTCTGGAGAACAAGATGATTGGGTTAACAAGCGAGTTGCCAAATAGGAATATTGATGAGATGCTCTCAGCTCCCCAAATGACTGCAGTCTCTCCTAGTATTATAGTTGCTAATGTCGTACATATGAATGGTAGATAGCASAGACCGAACGCCAAAAACACGTAACACATTGTGTACATGGACTTTTTGTATCTGAAAGTGTTTATTGCTGTCTGTTTGKTATTTCCCTCACTCCAGTTGCTTACACTTCGTTGCTGTGCTCTAAGGGTATGAAGACATTTAATATAACAATATGATGCCATGGCAACGCTTAATAGCATGACTGCTGCAGCCACCTTAAAGTATAGACCTTGCTTTACGTAGAAACGACTGCCATAAAGAAAACAAGAGACGACCCATATCGCAATCACTAGACACACTACTCTTCCATTAGTAACCACAGCTCCGTATTTAGTCCCYTTGTGAATTGCTAGGTACCGGTCCACTGCGATGGCCGTGAGGGTCATAAATGAGGAAGCTCCKAGAGCCCCTCCAGCCACGTGCGTGATCATTGCTGTTATACAGTAMCWAGTAAAGTTATGMTCGAGGTCTGCGATTTTTTTCACKAGCAACGCAGGCTCTATCATCAGTCCAACAAGGACGTCTGACAAGGCCAGGCTGAAGAGAAGTTTAGTCGATGGTTTACGTATCTCAGACGAACGATACAAGGAAATAATCAACAAAACATTCAGAGC